TAACTGCTTGCTAAGTCGGTATAAACTCCAGAATTTGCAGCACATAAAAATTCTATCGTATCTGAAGAAGATATACTCGTAATAGGATCAACATCTTCCCAAAATCCTTTTTCCATTACCACTTGAGTCGGTGGAACAGAAAATAAATCAAGTTCAGATTTTGAACACATACAGGAGTCTTTATGCATTGTTTCAAGAGCCATGCCACTTTGGACTATAGTTATCGAGAGATGTTTTCTGCTTCTTGGTTGGACCGCGAATGGGAGTTTTAGTTGGCGCTGCTCTTTTTATACTCTTTTTGCGACCCTTTCCGGTCATTACTTTCTTGGCAACATCAGATGCTGCTTGTTTTCCTCGTGATTTAAAAGCTTCTTTTACATTTTTTCCTTGGAGTACATCTTGACCGACTTCTGTGGCTGCTTAATTGCAATGCTCTTTTGCCAACAACTTTAGCACCTTGTTTGAATATAGGGATAGCATATCTCGCAAGGCTCTTGAAAATACTTCCGATTCCATATCCTCTTTGCATACGTGCACCACGAAACCCAGCGATATTCCCACCACGTTGCTGTCTCAAGAAATGGTCTTTCAATAGTTTAGCATCCACAACTAGTCTTCCGCGCATTTTTAGATAAAGTACTGAGATCTCTTCTGTCTAAAGTGAAGTGTTGCGATTGACTTCCCGAACTCAAATGAGACGTTTTCGTTTTGGTCATTCTTTATATTAACTTCAATGGTCTCAAAAGAATTTACTTTGACCGGTACGTATTGCAAATTACGAAAACTGGCGTGAACTGTGTTTCCATATTCCCCTCCGATATTAACGATTCGTAGTAAAGGCACTTTCACATCGCCCACAAACTGTGCATCAACGATATCAGTATAGACATACATGGAGGAAAATCCACCATTGATATCTGCAGCATAGGGACTCGACGTTTTCTTTTCAATAAGTGTGTCCTGGTCAAATCCCAAGACCGTTGCTAATTCGCCGGTAAACCACCCAGTTGTGCCGTGTTTTACATCAATCAAAACCTTGCGAGAACTGCGATTATAACTAAACTTTACTTTTGTCTGTGTTTCTTTCGACATGCCGGCATTGAGTGTTTTTTTTAGTTGGTCGATAGAAGAATATCGTGTTTCCTTAAGCACGACAGTTTGATAAGGGCTACTGCCAGTTTTATACAAAAACGTTTGTTGCACTCCACGTCTTAGCGTGCTCCACGTATGGGGGTAGTGCATTTCCGTCAATGCGACTTCCCATTGCCCTGGCAATACAATTGTTTCAGCCAGTTTCACTCGAAAATTCGCTACCGTATTATTTGGAAAATAGGCTAACGAACTATTACTCGGTAGCGTGAGATAAAACTGTGTTGCCATATTGAAGACCAATACACAGATGAACACAACTGATAAGTTTCAAATACATTTATTTAATATCTTTTACACTCTCTGCTGGTACCGAAGAATTAAATTTATCGGGGTAGCCCAACCATTTTACAAAATACTCTTTACGTTTATTATGCATGCGTGATCTAAGTACTTCTTCGACTCTATAAAAATCACTGTCTGATTTATTCACTCTCTGAAGCTCTTGTTCGTAAAATGTTCCTTTCAATTCTTCGTCATCAAAATCAGCGATCTTGTACACGGGTGGGCGTCGAAGAACACGTTTGGTTATCGTAAACACTTCTTCGGTCCAATTAGATAGGTATCCTTTCTAAATGTGCGCCTTGCTTTGCTGATTCGTACTTGGTCGCCAATGTTAAACTTGAACCAAACGGATTTGTCTGACTCTTTTCCATAAAGTTTTTGCCACACAATGCTCTCGTTGTCTTCGTTTACATCAACAGGCCTCATCCCAATACTGCGATGTCTCGAATGATTATACGATTATACGAGTTTCTGGAGAATGTCCACGTACTTGAGCGTGTTCTTCGCTGTAAAATATTTCCACATTTTCGTCTTGAGCGTACGATTAAACCTTTCGACAATCGATGCCTTGGTCTCGTTTTGCGTCGTGAAAAACCGGATGTTATGTTTCTTCAAAAAGGCTTGAAACTTTCGATTCATAAACTCCGTCCCTTTGTTGCTGTGAAACGTTTCAGGCTTTCGACCCTTTTTAAGTATTTTCTCAAAGGCTTTAACAAGATTTTCTCCAGTCTTTGTTTTTATCGGTTCAGCCCATGCATATTTGCTAAGTACATCGATCACAGTTAAAATGTACTTAAAGCCGTTATTGTATTTGCTTAACGAATCCATAATCACAAGATCTGCTTCCCACTGCTCGTCAATTGCGCCTACCATGAAACGGTTCCGTTTGAAACGATATCTTACAGGTTTATGCAAAGTATACGTATCTTGCTTTTGTAGCCATAGCCGTATTTTGTTCCGCGATATTTGATGTTTGCCTTCGTCTTTTACGACCCGGTAAATTGAATCTACGCCACCAAAACTTGCGGGACTTTCTGGATTGTAATAGATTTGGCTCAGGTACTTTTCTGCCATCAATGTCTGAGGCTTGAATTACAATTTTCCCTCCACAGCAAGCGGAAATACAACGCACTTTCCCAAAGATATCTCGAAGGGAAATTTCTGGAAGACTTTCACCACAACAGGGCATCCTTTCACCTCAGAGGTTAGAACGAAATGAACCATGCAGCAATCATAGACTAACATATAAAGCTATTAGTGTAAGTGAGAGCGTTATTAGAATCGGTGGATTATTGTTCCTCTTCGCTTTTGGGATATGGAAAGTTCGAAAGGCCTCGATAGTTTTTTGGACATGTTCTCGAACGCTTTCCTCGCTGTCACTTTGCATACAAACTAAGGCTAAATAGGCAAAAGTGCGACCAAAGTTTGTCATATTTATTTCCCTGTAGACTTGGTCAAGGTTTAGACTATGAGCACCCACTGCACGATATAGATCTCGATGGTGGTCGAGAATTGTGTTTATATGAGACGATAAAGTCTGCTTATCGATATCGATTTCATTTTGTCTCAACTCGTCAAAAATTATATTTATATTATTCATCTCACCAGAGAACCTCTCACCATAAAGGTTAAAACCCAAATGAGAAATGTAAGTGATTTATCTCAATAACATACAGAACACATTCATGATGATAAAAACAATTTATTTCGTTTTATTACAGTTATTGATATTTCTTAAGGAATTCTTCATACGCTTCCTTAGCATTAATGTTAGTACTAGTGAATGTTTCTCCCGTGTCTTCATTCCTGTATCGATATTCTAGCGGGTCACTGAATAGGACGAAGCCAGTCTTGGCCACACGAGGTTCGATCTCTTTCCATTCGAAAACTCCACAGCTATCTATCTGAGGGCAACAGTAAAACAGGCGGTTCTGTGTGGGTCCTTCTTTCTTCACTTTACGTACGGTGCATACCATCCCGTGCTTGCAGCGTGGTCGAGGGCTTTCGTAAATGTCTCCCCATTGCCAAAAGTTCCAAGGATCATGTCGATCAGAACACGTGAAGAAGGGTCTTCCATAATTATCTTTCAATTTATCTTTTACCACACGTAATTTGGCTAGTCGCTGATGTGTTGGGCAAATGGGATGATTGGAACCACTATTCTTACAGGCTTCCATTGCTCTCGTAAACAGATAACAATCTTCGTCATGGCAAAAGAACTCGCAGCTCGGTGTTTCGCCACAAAACCAAAACGTACCACGAGCAGTTGTAGAACAAGCAGCTGGTTTACGGTAAAAACATTCCATCGTGAGCGTTGAATACAGACTATGCAGGTGAAAGGACACTAGCTGTATTTATAGTGATGTTACTGTATTGTGATGCTAATTGATTACGTTTGGCCCACGCCTGCCCGCGTTAATTGGTCGCGCTACCTGCCACATTTGGCCCAGGCTTGCTCGCGTTAATTGGTCGCGCTACCTGTCACATTTTGCCCAAGGTTAGGGTTAGGTCATAGATTTTGCATACTAATTACTTTTACTACTTTGGTGCATAGACGAGAACATCATCTACGATCTTACGGATACCTTGTAAGCTACTGACAACTTTGTTCATGCGACGGTTGTACCACTCACTGATACTGCTGATTTCGAATACGGCTCGATTACAGACATATCTACCAAAGGGTGTGATGAAACAGGTTAAGGGACGAGACTCAGGGTGCAGTGGAATTTGCCAGTAGCCATGACGAGCATCGAATTTGCAGAAATATTTGAGCTCTTCAGCAGGAATGCTTGTTACAGCTTCGAAGGGTGAATTACTAGCAGGGTCGCCCAGAGGTTGGCGGGGGCCTGGGGCAAATTTTTTTTAGGGGCCCCTATCTAAACAAATTTTCCCGGAAAAAATTTTTCCCGAATAACAACCCCCCCCCCCGGTCAGTCTACCATTTTAGGGGTAAAAAATTTTTTCCAGAGTACAAAATTTTGCCGGTCAAGTACGTTGCAAATGCTTTCGAGGGATTTTATCTCATTTTTTATGCCAAAATTCTGTCCTTAGCCCAAGAAAACAGATATCTTGTCCTTTGCGCGGAAATAGTTAACACACAAAAAAGGCTGGGGCCCTACAAAAATTTTTCAGGGGCCCCCAGCAACTCGGAGCCCGGGGCAATTTGCCCCCTTTGCCCCCCCCCCCCCCTCTTGGCGGCCCTGATTACTAGGGTGGAATTCACGCTGGATAAACTTATTGAGGTGGGTGAAGTCAATGCAGATTCTCAGTTCGTCACTATCTTTCTTAGGTGCAATAACGATTGGATGACACCAAGTGCTTGGCTCTTCATGGACTGAGATAACACCAAGACGTTCCATTTCATCAAGTTGCTTCTTAAGTTGATCCATGTAGGGAATCGGGATTTTCCTTGCTTTCGCTTGGGCATAGGGTTGAACATCAGGTTTGAGATTAATCTTGAAGGCATCACCTTTCATCTCCGGGAGAATTGTGTCATCAAAAATATCATTATAAGATTGCAAAAGTGGAGTGAAATTTGTGTCCTCAGAATAGTTAATGTTCTGTCCATTTGTAATAACAGAAGTGACTTTGACTGATGATTCAGAAGGTTGCCAATTCAAATCAGACAAAAGTTCATCATCAGACGTGGGAGGGTTTGGAACCAGATGGTCGACTTCGGTCGGTTTGTTGTCACATATCTGAGGGTTGTTTTCTGATGCGTCGAGGGTATTCACTGATGAGGGATGGTTAAGTTTCTGAAGTAGTGTAGAAATAGGCCAGTCATCATTAATCACACCAAGTGCATGACAGGCAGGAGTACCAAGGATAATACCATCTTCACCATGAACAATATAGAACCACTGATCAGCAGAAATGGTGGGATTTTCTGGAGGCCACGAAATCTTTAGGAGAACTCGAGCTTCGACATCCAGGGTATGACCTCCAGCAGTCTTGATGGAACCACATTCAAGATTGTATGACCACTTAGGAGTGTCAAAACGGGTAATCCAAGCATAACCGACACAGTTAATGTTGGAGCCAGGATCAATCATGCATTTTTGCTTCCAGTTGTGGTTACCAAGTATAAAATCAGTGTAGTAGTGCTTACCAACACTAGGAATGGTGATGGCTTTGACAGAGATATCAGAAGTAAGGGGTAGTTCTTGATCAGCTGAAATGACTTTAAGAGTTGGTTTAGTGGCGGAACCAAGCTTAGAAGATTCATCAGTAACTTTCTTGTCAGGATCAACAGGGTCACCTGTTGGTTTAGAGGACTTGAGGCACATGACAGATTTAGCCCAGTGACCTCTGTTTTGACAATCCCTACAAACAGAGTCCTTTGTAGGGCAAAATTCCTTCTTGAAAACATGATACTTCATGCAAAATTTGCATTTTCGCAAATTTTCATCCCTTGTAGGTGGAGACTGGCCCCTTTTCCCAGTGTCATAAGAAAATTTCTTTTGTCTGTATGTAGAGGCTCCAGTCTTGTTAACTTTAGTTAAAAACTTATCAGCTTGGGATGAGGTAGCTTCATCTACCTGGATATACTGTACAGCTTTGTCAAGAGTAAGGTCTTGAATACAGAGAAGTCCCTTTCTTATATCATGAGACTTTATACCGGCCACGAGACGTGCCAAGAGAATTCGGTTCTTACACGACATTCGTGTTGAGCTCTGGCAACAGTCCTTGTATTGACATTTATTTAATAGTGTTTGTAGATCATTGTAAAACTCGTCAAACGATTCATTCCAGCCTTGTACTCGTTTGTGGAATTCATATTCATGCACAAATATATTTGAACTGCCACATACCTGGCGTTGAAAAGATTCAATGAGAGTTTGAACATCTTGTTGTCCTAGGTTGTTCATTCGTTTGATAGTATCATC